TTTTTTTGGCCTTTGGCCGGCCAAAACAGTCAAAGGAAGAAAGTCGTCTGATTGGGTAACTTATTTATACACTTTAAGTCCTTTGGTCACATCTTCAGCTTGAACATCCAAAGCGTTAGATGCAGCCATACGTGTAAAAACATCTTTGACCTTCTCGGTAGCATTGGTGGCAGTATCTTTCATCATGCCTAAAGCTCCCTTGGCCTTATTAACAGCATGACCTTCAGTCATTGGTTTTTCACGGGTAGGACCTGTTCCTTGTGGATTTTCATCTTTCGGACCCGGTCTGTCTGGTGATATATGATCTTGTTTTTGTTGGTCTCGATAAGCTGTGGTTCTAAGCAGTCTTTTATTAGAAACTGCAATAATTCTATTAATCATCAAAAATTTATGAGCTCGAATCATGATTTTTTTTTTTTGAATGAGAAATATTTAAAGAATTAAAACTACTAATATTATTCCAGAATGCATTATTTTGTCTTTTATATTTCAAAATTATCATAATTTATCACATAATAATTACGCCCGACAAATTTCAAATATCATGACAAAATTATAGCATCATTATGATTTTTTAATTAATTAAACGTCAGTGCCTAGGCTCCACACAAACTTTTAAATCACATGAAATATATTAAATTACAGTCTAGCCGGTAAAGTATTAATCCCGATTTATTTAAAACCAGGCATTTTATAGATTGAAGCCTTAATATTAGGCCTTACAATAGTTAAATTTAAATTTTATGAATTGATGATGATTTTAAAATTACATTTACAACTGACATATAGAGCCTTTCTTGTATCAAGAGTTTCTTATATCAAAGATTTCTTACATCAAGAGTTACAAGATTCACATGATAGTAGATCCATATACCGGGTTGGTGAAAAGTAACTAAACAGTGACCTTTTTTTAAATTATATCAGTATTACGTAGATAACGGAGATAGTAAAATAGGTCTCTGTTCAGTTATTTTTCACCAACCCGGTATATAGTATATCTGGGTGTTTAAAAAAAAAAATGGGGTGAATTTTCTTAAAGTACGTACTTTTTTAGGAACGTAACGTTTCACTAACAAAAAATCACTGTAAAAACCATTTCTAGCTTCGAAAGAACGTCTATATTCACTGTGCAAAATAATCAAAAATAATCAGTAACCCCAAGAACTTTACTTATAAGCGAATATTTTTACGATTTATTGCTAGTACTAGTCATATTAACCATATGCAAGTTCTAAATGCTGGAAACAGTCAACAAAAAAAAAGATTGACGTTTTTATGTGACGTTTTATAGTATATAAAATAATTGTCCAATAAATTGTCGGCATACTTTGTCTTATAAGCTAAGTTCGCCGGGAGTAAAATCTTTTTAGATTATTTTGCACAGTGCTACCAAAAAGTACTTTAAAGTGTATAAATAAGTTACCCAATCAGACGACTTTCTTCCTTTGACTGTTTTGGCCGGCCAAAGGCCAAAAAAA